GCAGCCCCCCAAGGGAACCCAAGAGGGTGGGGGAGTGGGGTACAGGGCACCGCATGCATGTTCAAAGCCAGGAGGCCAAGTGAAGGGGCTCGGGGAGTCAAAGGAGAGTATGTGCCAGCACAGACCAATGGCCCTGGGTCCCCGCAGTCCCACATTTGAGATGGCCTGAGCTGGCAGATTCTTGCATTACACGAAATAGTTCTGTTCTCATCAGCAGGGTCAGCCTTTGGCCAGGCTTCTGCCCTCTCTCCGCCTGGAGACGGCTCACACTTATTTGCCAATGTTGAAGTGTTTCTGGGAGGGGCCCAAGGACTTACTGCTTCCCCGCCCGCCAGTGGCTTTGGGGCACTAACATGGTCCAGTGGCATCCAAGGCCATCGCTGTGGGGAGCACACCGTTTAGGAACCCTGAAGGTATCCGGTGCTCCCCCTTGTGGGTGATGTGCAGATTAAAATGTATACATTCCTTTGGCTTCTAAGGGCAAGTACATTTCACTGGGGGAGAGGGATGTGTTCAGTCTGGCCAACAGACTCAAAGCCATTTCATGTTACAACCCCACACACTCTCCCAGGACCTCTGAGGAAAAGCCAAGGGGCTGGTTTTTCATCTGGAACAAAATTAATAATTCACTGGATCAGGTGCCAAGGGCTCCACCTGTACTTGATTAAAGACCCTGGGCTACATATATCAAAGACCTCGCGGCTTCATGTATCAAAAAGGGGTCCCGCCAACTGTCAGCATCATGCTACCCTTGGAATGTTTTCTCCAGGTCCAGTAGCAGACGTTCTTTTCTGGTTTCTCCAAATACCAAGCAGGGTGACGTCAGGGGCAGAAGAGAACGGGGGCGCGGGGGAGGATCTGCTCTCGTTCCTGCCCCTCCTGCTCCCACCTCCACCTTCACACAGGGCCTAGACAACTGGAAGAGGTGGAGGGTGGAGACTCCAGCAGACAGTGACCACAGAGGGGCCATGTTCCACGACATGTGCCCTTGGGTAAATCGAAGTGCGGGGTGGCAGAGGACTTTTGGAGAGGGAGAACCAAAGGATGGAAGGAAGACTGAGCTTCCACCTGGCCCTCTGTACAGAACTGTAACTAACACAGACGTTCGCCAGTGGGATGAGGGGGGGTGTCTCTGGGCCCCAGCCAGGAAGTGGGGGAGACAAGCAGGGATGAGGAAGAAAAAAAGTCACCAAGCTCCACCCTGAGGGGCCAGAGGAGCTTGTGGAGCACAAGGGTCTCTGGACTACCATGTCCATGAATGACCCAAGTGATGACACAACTCCTGAGGTCAGCCGGGACTGCGCCTGGGATGGCTGCTGGCAAGGAGGGAATCACAGAGACCCTGGCTAGGCCCAGTTATCTGTGCAATTTTACATCTGGGAACACAGACGTCACCTAGGGAATGGACATGTCACATATCACCTGTTGGTACCTCCCCTGTCCTTGAGCCAGTTCATGGCACCTTCTATGCGGAGTCCGTGTTCTCTCTCCTGTGCCACCAGGCCTTTGCCACGGAGGTCCTCCTGCTCCGAGAACGGTTCCTGACTGCTCCACCGGCGATTCACGCAGGCCTCCTCTCCCTCTCAATGTCGTTCCTGAAGCCTCGCTGTGGGTTCCTTGCTCCCATGCGTTCCCCAAGCACCCTGTGCCTGCCTCCCGGTCCTACTGGCAACTGTGTCTTCTTGTTTGAATCCTTCTTAGAATCACAAGGTGTTTATGGACTGGAAGTGACCCCTGCTCCCTTTTGAACACTCAGCACTTCCGAGTGCCCAGTCTGTAGGAAGGGCTCCGTGCTGAGTTAACGCTGCCGAATGAAGAGGTAAATGGAGAAGAGGTAGGGCTCAGCTTATATTCCATTCCACCTTCTGGATAAAATAGGACCTGTGTTCTCGTATACTTGACAGCCCTTGAAGTATCTGATGGTGGTTACCAAGTTCTGTTCCCCAAGAACATTCCAGATGAAGGCAAACATTCAGTTCCTTCCACATCTCTTCAAACGCTCTGGCTTCTCATCCTGTCTCCACTGGGCTCCCTCCTCTGATGGCTCTCGTATATGTTAGGATCCCTCCATAAAGAAGGCAGTCGGAACGGGACAGGTCTTCCCTCACATTCCTACCCAACTTTAGAAAACTGGGCAATGGCGAACATTGCAACAGAAATGAGGAGTGGAGCCCAAAATGGGAACCAGATGTTCAGGTCCCTCAGTCAGTCACACAGCACCTTACCAACTTTAGCTGGTTGTGGGTTAGGAACCCAAACCTAGTTAATTTCCCACCTGTACACTCAGCCCCGTGTGCAGACTCGCACCTCAGTGTGAGCTCGGGCAGAGCCAGATGCAGGGCCGGCAGCTGGTCTTGCCGCTGGCCAGAGCCCTGCTACAGATTAGTGCCACTCAGCATCGGGTTAGAAAGTGCCTCCTCAGGGAACACCAATTCATTCAACCACACCGATTCATCCAGAACCTAGCTTCCTGGAGCTTATATTTTAGTAGGGAAGGACAAAGTAAGGATATATATTAGAAAGCAAATTAAAAGGTGACCAGTGCTACTAAAAAAGAAATAACAGAACAAATTAAGGAGCACTGGGGCAAGGTGGGACAGATTAGTTTTAAATAGGGTGGTCACAGGGGGCCTAACTGAAGGAGACTTTAGATCAAGGCTAGAAGGAGGTGAGGGAGCCGGGGAAGGGCATTTTAGACATAGGGATTGGACACAAGGTCCCTTATTTCTGACACTGTAAAAAACTACACTGCAGGATGCTGCCCTAACTTCTAGGCATTAGAAACAAATTTACAAACTGAACTTCTATTAAAATCTCTATTTCTAGGGTCAGGTGTTCACAGCCTCTATATATTCCTAGAGCAATTCTGTTCTTGGACTGAATTCACTGTGATGGGGGTCTGTTGCCTGCTTCTCTGAGTATACTACCTCCCTAAATATTTCTTAAAAATGCTGGCAAAGCAAAGTAAAAGTCAACGAGTTAGTATCCTTTGGGACACATGGTATATTGTTTCCTTCATCTCTCTTCCTCCTTTGCATCCCTCCTTCCCTAAAGGATCTGCATATAGTGGGTGCATCTTTCCCCTGTCCTTGAAAGCTTTTCATTACCTTTTCTGATGTTCAAATGTGGGTCAAGTCTAGTCGTCAAACAGAGCAGCAAACTGGCAAGAGATTAAGTAATGAGCCACTCACATAAGGTATCCACTAATAAAAATTTAATATCATAAAACAAATCAGAAAACAGCAAAAAAAATTATTTTAACCATTCACAATTAACGTGGAGAGACAAAATTATAAGGCAGCCATCCATGGAATGATTTCATGTTTACAAAGGATCCAGAAAAAGGGACATTTAAAAATCACTGTTCAGGCTACTGAACCAGGGGAACTGCAGTTTTATCCCATGAGATTTCCAACTTGATAGAAGATGCTATCAGAAAACAAATCAAAGCCAATTTCCTTCCGTTCAGCTGAGCATCTCTAGAGAATTCCCAATGGTTGTCTAGTCCTTTCCTACAAGTCACAAATTTCCTTCAAGTCTCCTGGGGTGAATCTAGATGTCTCAGGTACAGGGCAGGAGGTGGGCTCCATCACTGGTTTTAATGTCATAGCATCTTCAACAGTGCTCCTGGGATCATTCTGTTTTGAGCAGAACTTTTCTAACAGAAGGATGGTTCTCTTGTAGAACACCTTCCATTGCAGCAGTCTGGGAGAATTTGGTCTCACTATTCTCATCTCCTAAGAGGCCCAGAGGACCTGCAGGCAAGAACATTTTCTGGTTCTAGACAGCTCCCCTGTTTAGTACCTAGCTACCATGGGTTTGAGGGGCGTAACACTCCAATGCTGGTGTGTCTTCCTAGTTCAAATCCTTGAAAAAGAGAAAAACCAGGCAGTGACACTTACAAGTAGGCTGGTAAAAGACACAATTTCATCGTCTCCTCTCTACAAAGAACTGACCCCTCAAAATGACCACCTCTGTCCTTTCTCTAACGATTCAAAATATAGGAAACCGGGCTGACTCAACTGTTTTGAATAGGGAGATAAAAAGGTGATGGGGGAAGAGAGAACACATAGGCTCTGTAGATGGAACTGTTTCCAATTCGCTACGCTCCAGTGCAGAGCCTTCGCCTAAAGAAATCTGGCAGCAGCGTGCACAAGAAAGCAGCCAGCCCTGGAAGGGCGCTGCTTCGGGGAAGTAGGGACTGATATGCTATCCGCTGGAAAACAAGGGAGGGGAATGGACCAGTAGCATTTTCCACCTTCATTTGCCATTTAAGAGTGCATTCGGAATCGGAAGAAATCTGCCCCTACCGAGGAAATGGGGACAAATTGCAATGAAGACCAAGTCTGGTTACGAGGAAGGAGGGCCGTGCCCGTCATCATCAGCTGCATCTCTTTGGTAGCCGGTAATTCATTCCATCAGTAATCACGGCAGCAACCTGAGACTGCCAATGTTTCCAAATGTGTGAGCGCATTAAGGCATCTACATCGAAGGAGGCAGTAAACACGAGAGGAAAACAGAACTGAAATGTGCCAGTAAGTGACCACCACTGCGGCCCCGTCTGGGACACCGCCCAGCACGAGCAAGTTCGTCCCCCTGTGAAGAAGGCCTCTGCCACGTTGCTCGGTCCCCTGCTGCCTGGAGGTGCCTTTGAGCCCTCTGAGGTTAGTACGGCCATTTCTGCCTGCTGACCAGGAGAGAAATGAGTAGCTCCGGAGGCAGCAGCTTTAAAATCTGGGAAAGCCCACAGCTCCCGAGGGCTGACAGGCCTTAAAAGGTGTGCTTGTTAATGTGAGGTCCACAGGGGAAGGCAAATTTGGAGGTTTGATGGTTCAGTCCTTGCCAGAGTTCAAGCCCCCCCCCCCCCGCAATATATTCTAGCCAAACTTTTAATGATGGCAAGGCACTGCTCAAAGAGGCTTTGGCCGGCAGAATGAATTTCTCATCATTGCACGCAACAGGATGATAGAAAGTGCTGCTACCCAAACCAAACCAGACACTAAGATGTACTATTTATTTAACAAAGTAAATTTTCAGGGAGAATCAAGGCAACCATGACATCTCAGAGGACCAGATGAAGCCCCATGACTCCTATAAGTCAGAGTTGTTATCAGGAAAGACACTCAGACTTTCCGGAGTGTACCTTCTGTTGGTTTTGCTATCATATGCAATGGTTGCCAGCCACTATACAAAACCATATCCTATGAATGCTACTTTGGTCTACGGCCAGCAGAGGGCTCACAAGCTCTATTTCCGTAGCTGTGGACCCAGTGACAAATCTAGGAAGGAAATAAAGAAATTATAGGCATGCTGGCATGTACGTCATATAAAATATCTTACGAACTCCTAAACCCACTGCCCTGAAGAAAAAAGCCTTGGTTCCCTCTTTATATAATGTGTTTTGAAATGGTACAGAAAATCAAAAATAAATTAATAACAAAGTATTATACACTTAGTTGATAACACAAAGTTTACAGGGATTTTGGCAAATATGGAAAAACCATCCCAGTTCGTTAAACACTTTTACTATCTCGACTGTTTAAATGACCAGAATATTAGTGATTGTGTCATCTCATATACATAGAAGTGATATTTTAAGGGCTTAACGAAGTTGCATTTGACACAAAGGTAACTTCATTGAAGGGAATAAAGAACAGAAACAATGTTATCTTCATCAACACAGTTCAAGAAGTGGTTGTCCTGATGAGAATTCAATTCACACAGATAACTAACGTGGCCACCCGCAGTACGCAGCAAATTATAGACAGGGAGGAGGGGCATGGGGGAGGAGTCCAGAGAAAAGCATGGAGAAGATGAAGAGACAACAGACATGATTTCAATAAGCTTTAAATCAAGAGGCGAACATTTCCCACTTGTCATACGTCTCGACTTTCTTCACTGCTACAGGTACTTATGTGATGCTGACCTAGCACTCCCCAAGGGACACCAAGTATTTTGCCATAGGGACTGATAGTGTGCTAATTTAAATATATAAAAAGAAAAAAAGAGACAACATAGGTCTTGGTAATCTTACTTTTGAAAAGATTATGACAAAGATGTCAGTTACTATCCAAATTCACTTAAAATTAACATCCTTTCATTTCAAAAGACACTTTGGGACCTGGCTGCTCTGGAAGGAAGGCCCGAGTGGGCCTGAACCTACCCGAACTTGGCTCCTCTGCAAGGGAGGCAGGAATTCTGCAAAGGAGACCTTGAGAGGAAATTCTCATTGCCTCCTTTAATGCTAGTTCATCTCTGTGGCTCCAGGATGGGACAGCAGTCTCGCTTTAAAGAGGCAGGTGCAAAAGGAGATGTTAAGTCTCTCCAGACATCCTCTTTTCAATGGACAGCTCTCGAGTAAAAAGTCAGCTTTTCCTGTGCCTTGCTGTCATTTTCCTGACTCTTGCCCCAAATAAACTACAATTCTCTTTAGCATCTAAGACAGTGGGCATTATAACCTTTCCCAAGGTATGTGGCAGAGATGCTAAAGCACCGGTCTCACACGGCGACAACCATGTTCAAAATCAATGGACAAAGTAAGTGGCAGAGCCTCTAAACCAAGAAAGAGATTTAGCTTAATTATGAAACACTGTACTTTCATAATTACTGTTTCACTGTGAGTATGAAGTTGTCCACTTTCCCTTAAAATGAAATTCCATCTTCCCTGAGAATAGGGTTAAGAGAAACATCAAAACTCAAAATGCCAAGGGCCCTTTAAAAAAAACAACACAACGGAATGTCTGTGTCCAGTCGCAACGTGTTGTTTCTACTCTAAAAGCTTTCCATTGCTCCAGGTTTTAATCTCACCTCCCTCTGGACTCTAGGAGTACGGGTGGAGATGGGCAAGGTGAGACAAGAGACCGAGGGAGTGAGCAGCTGTCCCGTGCTGGCTGGCCTCCCAGGACGGCAAACAGCCGAGGCAGAATCCGACGTTTAATGCTGGTGCCCTACTGACAGGATGAGCGGGATGAGGCAACCCAGGACCAGGGCGGCCACCTCCAGGCGGCTGAGGCCCCTCCCGCCAGCGGGGTCAGATTTGTGGCTGTGCCCCATTCCGCCCACCTCAGGGAGGACATGTACTGTGGCAACATAAAGAAATGTCCCGGCAGAGAAAAGCATGGCCACTCCAGTGGCATTGACCTCTGAAAGGGCTTCTTTACTGCTCTGTGAATTAAGAGGGAGAGAGAAAGAAGGAAAATTAAAACCAGTAAAATTCAGGGTCAGGAAAGTCCTGATTAAAAAAAACAACACCACTCAGTATCACAACTGGTGCGATATGGGACACTGGGGCAACTTGGTATCAGAGCAATTTTGTTATTGATGAGAAACTTCCAAATTTAAGACTACTGATGACGTACACAACTGCTTTTTTTTTTTTTTAAAGATTTTATTTATTTATTTGACAGAGATCACAAATAGGCAGAGTGGTAGGCAGAGAGAGGAGGAAGCAGGCTCTCTGCTGAGCAGAGAGCACTGATGCGGGGCTCGATCTCAGGACTCTGGGATCATGACCTGAGCCGAAGGCAGAGGCTTTAACCCACTGAGCCACCCAGCGCCCCAACAACTGCTTTTTATAAGTTTTATAAACTGCTGTTTATTGCCACAAACACAACTGCTTTTTCAAACAAATTTCAAGTCTGGTTGAACAGTCTGGCATGTATTATTCTTACAATGGAACCAATGGCATTATTAATGCAGGTGTTCAATTTCACACATTCATTCATTTATTCTACTAACATTTAACGAACATCCCTATACACCAGGCTCTAGGATGGTGCTTGAGATACAGTGGTAATCCAGACGCGGTACCTGCCCTCACAGAGGCTGGAAACAGCTTATAAGCTAATCCTGACACAATGAATTTCAATTTTTTCTATTACAAAAGTGGACCTATGGACTATGACAGTTAATTAAATTTTTAAGAAGAGAATACACCATATTGTAACATGTAACCCCATGCCTCCAGAATTATACCTTCTTGTCAGAAGTTCTATGATAAACAGGGTAATACTTAAAAAGGAACTATATACTGCTTGTTGACTGAAAGGAGAAAAGCATCGGGGCACCTGGGTGGCTCAGTGGGTTAAGCCTCTGCCTTCGGCTCAGGTCATGATCCCAGGGTCCTGGGATCAAGCCCCGCATTGGGCTCCCTGCTCAGCGGGGAGCCTACTTCCTCCTCTCTTTCTGCCTGCCTCTCTGCCTACTTGTGATCTCTGTCAAATAAATAAATAAAAATCTTAAAAAAAAAAAAAAAGAAGAAGAAAAGCATCTTCAAATGATCACAGGGGGTTTTTACAACACCTCAGTTGTTAGCAATCCAAATCAACGAACCTGATGAACGGGAACTTAATCGTGTTTTAACGACCTCATTTCTCGTATTTTTTTTTTTTAATACAAGTTTTACTGTATCAACTATGAATGGAATGACACTCAGAACCAATGACCATCAGAGAGAGTATGGGGGAAAGCAGTTCCAATGAACTAGCCCTGAGTTAGCTTGGTTCTAAGATTTTCCTCCTGTGGCGGATCAGTTGACACTGAAGTACCACAGTGAGGGCTGTTAAGACCTGCAGCCCTACGCCTGGGTGCCTCAGTCATTAAGCGTCTGCCTTCAACTTGGGTCATCATTCCACCTGGGATCGAGCCCCGAATAGGGCTCCCTGCTCAGCAGGAGGCCTGGTTCTCCCTCTCCTACTCCCCCTGCTTGTGTTCCCTCTCTCACTGTCTCTCTCTGCCAAATAAATAAATAGAATCTTAAAAAAAAAAAAAAAAAGACTACAGCCCCAGGGGACAGAATTGGAAGGCAGGGAAAGGTCCACCTTGAACAAAAGGGAAGAATGCCCAGGCTCAGAACTGACAAAGAACACATGTTACTTGAGGTCTGATGTTATGTTCAGTGCAATGATAAAGAACTGGATATTTAGTATTTGGTGACATGAGAATATAGACATCTCTGCTCATCCCCTATTCTCCTCAAAACTGCTGTTTGCTTGTCCCTCACTCTTCATGCACCTGCTTAAACATTAAATTTGTACTGTTGTGACTTATTATATACCTGTCAAACAAAATTAGTGTGTTTGGTTAGGCTTCAGTTAAGCTATTTTAAAGATCATATATCTGGGGACACCTGGGTGGCTCAGTCAGTTAAGTGTCTGCCTTCAGCTCAGACCATGATCCCAGGGTCCTGGGATTGAGTCTCACATTGGGCTCCTTGCTCAGCAGTGAGTCTGCTTCTCCCTCTGCCTGCTGCTCCCCCGCTTGTGCTCTCTCTCTCTGACAAATAAATAAAATCTTTAAAAAATAAAAAATAAATAAAGATAAAAAAAAATAAGGATCATGTATCTGTGCAAATATTTCCAGAACTGATGGGGAAGAAATTTTCAAAATAAATGAACAGGAAAAATGCTCTAAATTTATGAAGAGAATGCCATGGAATTAAGATGTTTACTTTGTACTGGCTTTTACTCTTAATTTCATCTTTAGTTTGAATGGGTAACTTAATTGCATAATTCAACATAGAAGACCACAGGTTCTGGTAAATCACAAAAGAATTAGACACTTGTCTAGATAAGCTAGGAATGAGTCAGACTTACCTTACTTAGTCCTAAGTATGTCACCATGGACATAACTGGTGCCGCCAGTGCAAAGACAAGTAAGTGTTTCCGGATTCGATTCCGTTCTAGGCCAGCATGCATTAAGAAGGAAACCAGCCCAAAAGCAGCTGGTGCCTAGAAAAGAAAAAGTATTCCTAATTACTCTTAAAGTATGGATCACTTCTATATTACAAAGCATATGTCATTTGACTGAATTCTCACCAAAAAACAAAAACAAAAAAACAACCAGGCATGGTACCAAGACTGAGTTCTGCCTTTTAGGAATTAATGTTCTAAGCTAAGAAAATATCCTGTGTCTGTGTGTGTGTGTGTATGTGTGTGTTTCAGCAAGAAAAGAGTACAAGAAAACAAAAACATTTATGAAGAAAAATTACTTTAAAATATAGAAATCTTGGGGCGCTTGGGTGACTCAGTGGGTTAAGCCTCTACCTTCGGCTCAGGACATGATCTCAGGGTCCTGGGATCGAGTCCTGCATCGGCTCTCTGCTCAGCAGGGAGCGTGCTTCTCCCTCCCCTTCTGCCTGCCTCTCTGCCTACTTGTGATCCCTCTCTCTCTCTCGCTGTCAAATATATAAATAAATAAAATCTTAAAAAAAAAATAAAATATAGAAATCTATAGAGAATTTAAGAGTTTGTGTACATGACAGAAACACTGGCTGTGTTCACACAAAAACCTGTACATGCTTACACCGCTCCAGTTATAATTGCCAAAAAACTGGAAACAACCCAAGTGGCCATCAGCAGGTGACCGGATGAACAACTGTGGTACATCCGTACCAGGGACTACTGCTGGGCGATAAAGGATCAGCGAATGATACTCAGATATCACGGACAGACCCCAGAGACGCTGGAGCGGCATCAGTAAGTTTACAGAAAGTAATGGAAACAGCGTGATACTGTAACAAGGAAAGACAGAACAGGATGGAAAGCACAGGACAGAACCTTTTAGTGTATGAAAAGGTTGATATTATGAGTGAAAGAAGCCAGTCTCAAAAGAGTATGTACTATATGATTCCAATCGTATGACATTCTCAAAAAGAGCTGCGGGGAGGCCGCTGAGTGGTTTCCATAGGTTGGGGGTGGTGGGAGGAGGTTTTGGGGTAATGCAGCTGTTCTATGTCCTGATTGTGGTTGCACAGATCCATACAAGTGTTAAAATTGGTAGACTAACTGGGGCGCCTGGGTGGCTCAGTGGGTTAAAGCCTCTGCCTTTGGCTCAGGTCATGATCCCAGGGTCCTGGGATCGAGCCCCACATCGGGCTCTCTGCTCAGCAGGGAGCCTGCTTCCCTTCCTCTCTCTCTCTCTCTCTCTGCCTGCCTCTCTGCCTATTTGTGATCTCTGTCAAATAAATAAAAATAAAATCTTAAAAAAAAATCGGTAGACTGATTTACCATTGATAATTTAACAAAATAAAATTAAAAATTATCTGTAAAAAAAAAAAGTTTGTGTACATGACCATAAAAAAAGTCCCTTCAAGTGAGAGTTTAAGAGTAACAAAAAACCCTAGCTATGAACAGAGCCTGTCAATTATCTCAAATGAATGGCAATTATGAAAACAACTAAAAAAGTCTTCCCATTCCAAAAAAATACCAATGTCCAAGAGAAATTTTAATTATGAATATATTCAATATCAAATCTTCCACTAAAATTCCGCTTACCTTATGTAGCATTATTGCCACAAACACAATTAACTGGACGCTAGTCTGTGAAGTAGAGGCTGCTGCTCCTAAGGCCACTCCATCCGCTAAATTTGGAAAAAAAGAAAATGTAAAACAGTATAAAAACAACAACAACAATGTAGTATCATGTGTGGGCTTTAGAGTCAGGTAGAGCTGTGTGACTCTGGGAAGGTTCCTTAACTTTTCTGAACCTTAGCCTTCTCACCTCTAAAATGGGCTCAAGGAAGTATGTATTCTTGGGATTTCCATGAGGGTTAAATGAGATAACATTACGTAAACAGCATAGCACCTGGCCCCAAGTATGCAATATGTCTGTCAGCTGTTAAAACAGAAATTGCAGAGATTGCAAAGTAAGCATCTCTGCATCTTGTAGATGAAAAAAAAACCAAACAAAATAAAGACTCCAACTCCACATAGGTGACTTATGCTCAAGAAGTAAATATTGGCAGAATGGGTGAACTTCTGTCAGATAAGCATGTTATACTAGAAAGGTCCAGGTGACAGTGTGTCCTCTTCCACACGCCTTGTCGGTCACAGACACCTACTGTGGGACTGGTCTTCAGTTATGACTCTAAGGCATGCCCAGTCAGCGATCCCGCACCATCTGTACTCTACAGCCCACCCCTGCCTCAACAGGCACTTTGGGTTTATACTGAGCAACAGAGCTCCTCAGTACCAAAATGTCAAGGCTCTTTTCCAGATGAGGCTCTAAGGGCAGAAGTCAGCACATTTTTTCTTAAAGGGCCAAAGACAAAATATTTCAGGCTTTGCAAGCCATCTGCTCCCTTGCAGTCACTGCCCATTCTGCCATCACTGTGCAAAGGCAGTCACAGATAATATGTAAACAAGTGGGCATCATTGTGTTCCAAAAAACTTTATTTATAGGCACTAGAATTCAAATTGTGTGTAATTCTCATGTGCCACAAAATATTTTCCTCCATTAAAAAAATATAAAAACTGGGCGCCTGGGTGGCTCAGTTGGTTAAGCCATGGCCTTTGGCTCAGGTCATGATCCCAGGGTCCTGGGATCGAGTCCCGCATCGGGCTCCTTGCTCAGTGGGGAGCCTGCTTCTCTCTCTGCCTCTGCCTAACACTCTGCCTGCTTGTGCTCTCCCTCTCTCTCTCTCTGACAAATAAATAAATAAAATCTTTAAAAAAAAAAAAAAATATATATATATATATATAAACTGTTCTTAGCTTGCAAATCCCCGACACTGAGTCTGCCTGGGCCAGTGCTTGTGTGGGAGGACTTCATGAAGAAACCCTCTCCCCAAAGGCCAGCCTAAGGGCAGTTCATGCGGATAGTCCCTGGGATGTACACACTAAGCCTCCCATGCCAGGACCTAAGAGAAAGGGGTCTCACCATCACCCAACCCTACCTACCTGCAGCATGGACAACGAGACCCAGGGTGGTGGTGATTTTGGAATTGCTGGGCCTTGCTGTTTCTGGATCTGAAGTACAAATAAACAAGTCAGCCACGATGCAATGTGAAACAGAAAGTGTTAGAACAAATGACCTGGAAGTAGAATTCTTTGAAAGCTCTTCAAGTTTTGATTGTATTTTCCCTATGACTGTCTTTTCTCTTTGGCTTCAAACACTTAGAAGTTTCCCCTGTCCTGAAAGAGGCGGGGAAGGAAGGGACACTTCATTAGTCCCAGCCTTCCCTGAACAGACAATATGGGACCCCCAACCCCCCAACTGCCTCAACTGCCTCTTAACCCTCCAGCTCTCCCTGGAAAGTGTTCCGTGGCCTCTTGGTGTGTCTCCACAGACCTATCTCGTCACTGCCCACCTACCCCTCTCCCCCAGCCTCCTGCAACTTTATCTTCATTCTAGTACCAAAATGTCTGTCATGTTTTGCCCTTCTCTATTTTATTGCCACTGTCCTAACCTAAATCTGCACCCACCTGAACGTCAATGAGCAACAGGCTCCCAGCTGGTCTCCCCCTGTTCTCATTTCTCCCTCATCTAACTCATCTTCCACATCCTTGTTGGATTCAACTCTGAATCACCCCACTCTTCTGAAATGCCAGTTATCTACTGCTTTTCAGATTCAGTCCACACTGGGTGCCTAATATCTTTATTAGCTGGTATCATCTGATTCCTCACTACTTAGTCCAGTTACACCAGTTTCTTTAACACCTTCTAACAAAACCTTCTCATTGTCCTTTCCCCAAATCTCTCTTCCTTAATTCTGGGCATGAACTTAAACTTCTCAGTTCATCAATCTGAAACCTAGCCACTGTTCAAAGTCTAATTCTAGGACCACTTCCCTCCAGAAAGAATCAAAGATTATTTCCAGGTCAAAGGTTCCCCTTAAGCCAAGAGCTCTATGTGCACAGACTCTACATGCTACTTCAGATCTGTTCCTAGATCACAGCTGAGATATATGCAGCTATTTTCACTCAAATAGGTCTGATATCCCCAGATTGACTGTAGACTACACAAAAGTGAGTTTTCCACTTCTTTCCATTTCTTTTTTACATCTTACAGAATGTAGCACAGCACTGGAAACCCAACAGCTGCTTAAAAAATCCTTATTGGAGAGAGGAAAGAATATTTCTCTGTGTCACATTAATGTTTCTGCTATGGCAGGAAATACACAAGCGAGTAAATAATGTCCAAACAACATAAAATTAAAAGATGGGGACATCAAAAAGCCAGATGAAATGACAGATGGACATTAGCCAAATAAATTCCAAAGGACTTAATCTTCTGGAAAAAACCAGAACACAGAAGGAATGGTTTAGAGTGGAAAAAAACATATGTAAGTGAAGTAATATGTTATCTTTTTAATAAAAATAAAATTACCGTCTGGTTAAACACTACAAGGTAGGGACAGTAAGGCCCCTAATTGGTCGGAGACACCAAATATTTCAATGTAGCCCCAAACTGTGAAGAGTATCATATTATACTGTGTGCCAAGCTTGTTTTGACTTTCCTTTATACAGTCTTGAGGTATGGTTATAAATAGCATCTTAAATAAATATTAGAGGCTTTAAAATTAAAACACAGTGTTTACAAATCTATAGGAAAAGACTGTACTTCAGCATAAATTTAATAAATGAATTTTTACTGATATTTAACAATATATAAAACCCTGTAGATAATAGGTAAAACCAAATTGTTGGATACATGAAAGCAAGCAAAAACAGTGACTTCAGAGATGAAACAGGAGGAAGAATAAAGGAACACAAGCTATTTTTAATTCTTTGTATAGGATTATAGGGCACCAGTGGGCCTTTAAATGCATTTAAAATGGAAACTGATGAGAATCACGAAAATGTCATAAATGCCACTGGGAGCAACTATGTAATGCAGTTGGAATCAAATACCATCCCACCAGAGGGTGCTTCTCATTTGCTATTTAGTGAAAGCACGCAAATAAAATCCTTTATCCCTAAATCAATTTCCCAATACATGTAAGACCGTTGAAAAAGAAAAAGTGTATGGAAAAATACTGAAAAGAAATAATATGTGCAAGGAGACTAACAAAACAAAAAGTACCCTTGGACTAAAAAGGCTAATTAAGTTCAATGAATTTGGAAAAAAAAAAACAAATAAAACCATTTATTTGGAAATAATTTCAAATCTTTCAAGTAATCTTTCAAATAAAAGTTTGAAATAATCTCTCAAATCTTCAGAAAAGTTTTAAGAATGTTCAAAAAACATTTATTACTCATTTCTCAGAATGACCTACTATCTAACATTTTGCCCCATTTGCTTCATTATTTGTGCTCATGTTCTTTCTGTATCCAAATGACACACACACACACACACACACACACACACACTTTTTTCAAAATAAGTTGCATACATGAAAACTCTTTACCCCCAGATATTTCAAATACCTAAGAGAAAGGATATTGTCTTACATAATCACATTACAATGATCAACTTCAGTAAATTTAATATTGATACTTTTTTTCTCATTTCTCTTGCATATTTTAATTTTGTTAACTGTCCAGGAATGTCTTTCAGAGCATTTTTCCCTCCCAGGAAGGATCCAGTCTGGGATCATATATGTACTTAGTTGTATCTCTTTAGTCCCCTTTAATCTGGAGCATTTTCTTTGCCTTCGATTTTGCAACAGTGGTATCTCTAAAGAATACATGTCCCTTTCTGGGCCTTTCTTGTTTTTTAATAGAATGATTCCTTCCAGGGTGCCTGGGTAGCTCAGGTCATGATCCCAGGATCCTGGGATGGAGTCCCACGTCGGGCGCCCTCCTCAGTAAGGAGCCTGCTTCTCCCTTTCCTGCACCCCCCATTTGTGCTCTTTCTCTGTCAAATACATAAAATCTTAAAAAAAAAAAAAAAAGAAAAAAAAGAAAAAGAATGATCCTTTCCTTTTGGGTTTGTCTGATGCGGCCTGAGATTATGCATCCTCAGATGGAATACCACACAGGTGCTGCTTCTCAGGATGTCTAGAGGCACAGAATGTATGTCTATCTGCTGCTTGCTAGTACAGCGTATTTTGGATTATATCCTGGAAATTGTGAATATCATTTTGTGGATACTCCGGATTCAATTATATGCCTCCAAAGAGTGTCCACTTTGTGTTTTCCCTGAAGTCACTTGGTTTGGCTTAAACTGCCAAGTCTGTCTTTCGGGCAGCTGCCCGAATCCCAGGTCAGTTCTTTCCTCTTTAGCTGAGTCTGCCTGCAAAAGAATGGTTCGGGGCTCAGCTAGACTTGGGCTGAGTTTATACATAAAATCCGGGGCTGTGTTTCTCTGTACCTCTCCTTTCTAAGATTCTCCCCTCAATTTCCAGTGGCTGTAGCTACCTGACCTCTAGTTCCTTAGGCCAGAGAGACCGAGTTTTCTATCAGTTTTAGCTACCCTAGCTGGGCGCTGACTGCTTAAAAGCAGTAAAAACAGAAATTTACCCTATTCTAAGGGTTGATGCCCCTTCAGAATTTTCCTGCTTTAGGCCACTCCCTAGTGTCTTTTCATAGAGGTTTTTTTTTTTTTTAAAGATTTTATTTATTTATTTGACAGAGAGAAATCACTAGGCAGAGAGGCAGGCAGAGAGAGAGGAGGAAGCAGGCTCCCCGCTGAGCAGAAAGCCCGACATGGGGCTCAAACCCAGGACCTGGGATCATGACCTGAGCCGAAGGCAGCTGCTCAACCCACTGAGCCACCCAGGCGCCCCTCATAGAGGTTTTTAAAAATTTTCCCAGTTATCTGTGGGGAGGCTGGTCTGATAGGCACTTATTTGCCCACATTGCAAACAGACACCGATGACTTTAACCTTGATCATCTATCTGGTCAAGTACTACCGGATTTCTTTATTTCATTACTCCTTTTTCCCTTGCAACTAATAAACAAATCAAAATTTACTCCCTATATTTAACATTTGTTGATTCTGGCATGTGCCAATTTTTACCACAAAGCTTGCAAAAAGGATTTTCTCTTGCCAGCACTCTTTCTACACTTACAAGTTGGCATTTAGCAACCCACTGGAAGCAAGTGTTCTCCCTCCTCCTCTTCTCTTTCACATGGATGTGCTCAGCGTTTCCCATTTTCTCAATGGTTTTTGTTTCATTACTGTTCATAATTATTTTTGGTGCTCAAACTGTCTTAGATCTGGCCAGCGGGAACCCCTTCAAGCTGGTTCTAAACTCTGTGACAAGCTTCCATTTTTTCCCTTCCTTCCTACTTTTTTTTTTGAGCACTAGATGTTCCAAGCTCATTTTGTACTTACCCTGCCCCTCTCCTGGAATCAGCCATTTCTCTGAAGAGCACTGGTATGCTCATTGCTACTGGGGTGTCTTTACTTCTAGGCCCTCTCTGCAGACAGAGCTAGGACATACATACATGTATACATAAACACACACGTATATATCTACACATATACACACATATACACACATACATTTTAGAAACCATGAGTCCAATAGCTCCAATTCCAGTCCATCCCTATAGGGGTTCTTTCTTGCCTTCCCCCATTCCATATTTGTACATCCCCTCTTCCACAGTAAGAACTCTGCTTCCACCAACAGCAACACACTTACTCAAGTGAGAGTAACACTTGCTTAATCCTAGAATACATCTAAAACAGTTTCAGAATTGTTTTCACCTGTACCTTCACAAAAAGCAAAGCCTACTAAAAAGAGTTCAGTAATTTTTTATGCTTCTCCTCCAACTCCATTCAAAACTAAAAATATATAGTCAAATACTATATTCATATGTCATCTGAGTTTTTTCTTAAATCCCCTTCAGTGTGATTGTGTTATTCATTTGAATTACAGTTCACCTGCTTCAGTTAGCTTCCCCTAACCTTGTTGATTTCATTTTATTTTTTGAATATGGGAAATTGCAGCATGTTTCCAAAAGTCAAGACTACATCAAAGAGGCATGCCCAGGGAAGTACCATGCCCTCCTGAAACTCTTCTATCCCATCCTACCCACCTCTTACAGGTAACTCTGTTGTCTAGCTGAGCTTTCGGTATCCTTTCTGTAAAAATAAGCAGATGTGTGTGTTTTAGTCCCCCTCTTTCTTACACAAAATGTAGTATATGATAGATACTAATTTACATTTTGGCTCCCTCCCCCCTTAAAAATATCTCCTAGAAATCTCTCCCTATCAATTCACAAAGAACTGATTCCTCATCCTTTTTCAGGGCGACCTGTAGAACTCCATTCTGTGCACACATTACACTTTATTCAACCAACGTCCATGACTGGATATTTAAGTGGTTTTACAGTGATAAATAATGCTGCACAGAATCACCTCATGCATGTGTATTTTCCTATTGGAGCTGCATTATCAGAATAAATTCTCAGAAGTGGCATTTTTGGAGTTGAAGGATAGATACAAACGTAGTCTTGTTTGATCTGGCCAAATTCCCCTCTGCAGCGGCTGTACAATTTTGTACTCCCATAGCAATAGGTAAAGGTATGTTTCACTGTAGCTTTGATAACAAAGTATACTCTCAAGCTTTTGAATTTTTGCCTGACAGGTTCGAAGTGGCATTTCGGCAGAGTTTTGATATACATTCTTAAGTGAAATTGCACATCTTTTCATATGTTTAAGGACCACTTTAATTACCTTTTTATGAATTATCTGTTCATGTCTTTTGCCTGCTTTTCCAGAGATTTTTTTTTTTGTAGGTCATGCATTCTTAACCTAGGGTCCACATAGAAGAACACAGGTGCAATGCAGGGGGTGCCTGAGACCCTGACTCGGAAAAAAAGTGCATTTTAATTTTTACTAACCTCTAAGTGAAACTTGGATTATGGGTACAGACCATAAACTGCAAATACTGGCACCACCTATACTTCACTGCCAGGAGGAGTACTCCGATAACTTCATGTTATTTTACAGCCGTGGATATCTTCCTATCGTTGCTTCCACTCATCACTACTTTAAGGGCATATAAAGTGCCACCACACTGCACGATGACAGTCTTCGTGTTTGCAGATGCTCACGTGACAAAGCTGGGCACCTCTCAGGCAACTCTGCACCCAGTCATTCAGCTACTAAACAGCAGGAGTCAGGGGATCTCTCACTGGACCGACACCTCTATGCTGCTCTCCGCAAAGTTCTGTCAGTGTATTTGAAAAGAGATTATCTATAAACCCCTCTATCACCAAACTCTAGGGGAGTTTGATGCAACTCTTCCAAATTTATTCTATCATGGTGGCATTAACATTGTATCAAGGATTAGAATCTTTTTTTTTTTAAATAATATAAGCCATATTAAAGATGCTGACCCAGCCAAAGATGGATTCATTGATCTTTTTAAAAAATTTTTTAATTTAAATTCAATTTAGTTAACATATAGTTTATTATTAGTTGCAGGGGTAGAACTTAGTGATTCATCAGTTGTATAAAACACCCAGTGCTCATTACATCACGTGCCTTCCTTAATGCCCACCACCAATTACCCCATGCCCCCACCCACAGCCCCTCTAGCAAACCTCATGTTGTTTCCTATAAAGAGTTTTTTTTTTTTTTTTTAAGATTTTATTTATTTATCTGTCAGAGAGAGAGAGGGAGAGAGAGCGAGCACAGGCAGACAGAATGGCAGGCAGAGGCAGAGGGAGAAGAAGCAGGCTCCCTGACGAGCAAGGAGCCTGATGTGGGACTCGATCCCAGGACGCTGGGATCATGACCTGAGCCGAAGGCAGCTGCTTAACCAACTGAGCCACCCAGGTGTCCCTATAAAGAGTTTTTTATGGTTTGCCTTCCTCTCTGTTTTTGTCTTATTTTTCCTTCCCTTCCCCTATGTTCACCTGTTTTATTTCATAATGAATTCATTTATCTTAATACAAAAAAGTTACTATATCTGGGGGTGCCTTGCTGGCTCAGTTGGTGGAACATGTGATTTCTTGGGATCATGGGTTCGAGCCCCATGATGGGTGTAGAGTTTACTTTATTTATTTATTTAAGATTTTTATTTATTTATTTGACAGAAAGAGACACAGCAAAGAGAGGGAACACAAGCAGGGAGAGTGGGAGAGGGAGAAACAGGCTTCCCGCCAACCAGGAGCCCGATGAAGGGCTCTATCCCAGGACCTTGGGATCATGACCTGAGCCGAAGGCAGACGCTCAATGACTGAGCCATTCAGGTGCCCCTAGAGTTTACTTTAAAAATTAATTAATTAATTAATTAATAATTTAAAAAACTTTTTTTCTAAAGTTACTATGCCTGGAGTTAAATTTTAAGTCTTGGAGAATTGTAGTTGTAGTTGAGGAAGTGTATCTTTCTTTGGAAAGCAAGGTATGAATGTGTTTAAGTGTATTTGTAAGAAAATATCTTCCTGAAGCAAGAATTTCTATACTAGTAACCATCAAAACAAAAAAACCAGATCAACTGGATGTTCAACTTGACACTCTTGTTTCCTTGTTGAATCCCCTCTCACAATTTTGTTTTTAGCCAAGCTAAACAATAAAAGCTGTCATGCTGCTATCCTAAAATAATAAAATTTAACTCCACCTTGCATATGATTTAAATATATTACTTGATTAATTAATGCATCAATAAAGAAGACATACATTACTATATCATAAATTTGTTTTTAATGTTTTGGAACTATATTTCAACATAATCGGGTTTTCTCTGTAATCCTACACATTATGGTTTACATGTTTAAAAACATGATTCCAATAAAAGGTCCACAGGCTTCAGAATGCCAAAGGGCTCCACAGCACAAAAAAGGTTAAGAATTTCTGCCCCAGACTCAACAAAATGAGACAGCTCTGAGATAAGCATGGTAATAACCCAATGAGCACTCTCTTGTGCCACATGTCACAACTCACCAGCTCCCCCAACTGAATAAAATGTTCACTAGTACCCAAGAAAGACAAGAGTTTTTGGCACTAAAGAAGGCCACTGATACATATACATATTGAATTATTCAATCATCTGTGACTTTCTAAACTGTAAATTTACTGTACTGCCCAGAAAGCCTGGGGGCCACTTACCGTCAGTAGAATGCACATGGGAGCTGCCAATCTGGTCTACCAGCAACATGAAAACGAAGCCCAGCACAAGGGAAACGCCAATGTAGGCGTGCAGCTGTGTATGGTCATGGCTGTGCTCATGTTCATGGGCAACTGGTATTTCTGCTGCTTTGTCTGATGCAATCACATTCTGTGTTTCACTCACTTGGTGGTGTTTACCTAGAACAGAATGAACCATGAAGAGAAAATGTTTTCCTCCTTGGAACATTTTTATAGATGCTCCCATTCTTCTGTATTTCAAGCTCTACTTACTTTACTGCAAAGACATCTACTTCCTATATTACAATCCAGCCAATCATAAGCTCTTTTTGACATGCAGATCTTTTTTTTTTTTCAAGATTTTACTTATTTATTTGACACAGAAAGAGAGACAGCACACGCAGGAGGAGCAACAGGCAGAGGGAGAAGGAGGGGAGATGGGAAGCAGGTTCCCACTGGGCAGGGAGCCTGATGTGGGGCTCAATCCCAGGACCCCGGGATCATGACCTGAGCTGAAGGCAGATGCTTCAACTGGGCCACCCAGGTATCTGGCATGTAGATGTTTTAACTGCCTATTACTCTCAAAACCTGGAAGTGGAAGCAAATCACCGAGCAAGAAAGCAGTCATATTCCCAAGTGATATCCTCCTCAGAGCCTCCTTTTTGGCTAAGAAATTTGTGCCCATATTATCCAAGAAACTACAGTAAGTTTTGTTCTGATGAAGACAGGAAAATGAAGAGCAGTAGTAATGAAAATAATTTCAACCAAATTCATCTAGTTTTAGACCTCAGTTGATTTAGAAATTGCAAATAAAGAGCAAACTGAGTATAAAACTTCTAGCTTTAAAAAATATCAGGAGGGGGGCCGTCTGGGTGACAGACAATTAAGCGTCTTCCTTCAGCTTTGGTCATGATCTCCAGGTCCTGGGATCAATCCTGAGTCTGGCTCCCAGCTCAGTGGGGAATCCTGCTTCTCCCTCTCCCTCTGTGTCTCTCCCCTGCTCATGCTCTCTCTCTCAAATGAATAAATAAAATCTTAAAAACATATACCAGTAGGCAGTCACTAACTAGAAACCAAAAGGGCAGAGCAGTTTAAGAGACAAAGCTTTCCATCTAAATTCAGTTCTAGAAACGTAATTGCTGGGATACTCTGAATTATAGGAAGTGACACTTGGCCAAGTAACACTTCTGGTTTATTATACTCACATATGACACTCAAAGCATAAATACTTCAATGCCAGAATCCTGATCATAGCTGTATTTATTTATTTATTTTTTAAAGATTTTATTTATTTATTTGACAGAGAGAGATCACAAGTAGGCAGAGAGGCAGGCAGAGAGAGAGAGGGAAGCAGGCTCCCCGCCAAGCAGAGAGCCCAATGTGGGACTCGATCCCAGGACACCGAGATCATGATCCGAGCCAAAGGCAGAGGCCCAACCCACTGAGCCACCCAGGTGCCCTGTTTGATCATCCTTAACAAGTACAGAAAAGAGTTTGACAAAATTAAACCCTCCTTCATTAAAATAAAGTACAGCAAACTAGGAAAGAACTTCCTTACTGAGAAAGAGTGTATTCGAAAACCCTATGGTTAAGACACCTGTAAGATTCAGAACAAAGCTAGGCCATCTCCTCTCAGCCACTGGTATTTAACATTGTATTTGGGGTCCTGGACAGAAAAAGAAAGAAAAGGCATAAAGACTGGAAAGAAGTAAAACTGTTTGCAGATAATGTGATTGAGTATGTTAAGTGGTTAAAATTTTAAAGCCTCATATTATCACATGTTGACAATGGTATAGAGCAACTAGTACTGTCATACACTGCTGTTAGGTGTGTAAGATTGTACAATCACTGTGGAAGACAGTTTTTTATAGCTAACCCTTCTGCAGAAAAACTTGTACCTGAATGCTCATAGAAGCTTTATTTATAATAGACCATAACTGGAAATAACCCCAATGTCCATCAGTAGGTGAATGGGTAAACAAATTGTGATATGTCCATGCAGTGGAACATTACTCAGCAAAAAAAGAGGAAAAAACAAACTGATACATGCAAAGCATAGATAAATCTCAAAACATTGCTATAAGCAAAAGAATCCTTACACAAAAGTTATGCATTATATGATTCCAATTATATAAGATCCTAGAACAGGAAAAAAAAAAGTGTTTCTGGGGACAAGAAGCACGTTAGTCCTTGCTTGGGACCAGGAGCGATATATTGATGTCAGAGGAGCATAAGAGAACTTTTCTGGGATTTTAAAATGTTTGGTATCTTGGTGGTAGTTACTAGAATTTTTTCATTGTGAAAGCTCATTATGTCTTACTGTATGTAAATTATACATCAATAAAGTTGCTTTTTTACAAAAATAATAGATTTAGGGGTGTCTAGGTGGCTCAGTCAGTTAAGTTTCGGCCTTCGGCTCAGGTCATGATCCTGGGGTCCTGGGGTTGAGCCCTGCATCTGGTTCCCTGCTCAGTGGAGAGCCTGCTTCTCCCTCTCTCCACTCTTCCTGCTTGTATGCTCTTTCTCTCTCTGTCAAATAAATAAAATCTTTAAAAATAAATAAATTTTAAAAAATAAAAAAGAGAGATTTGGGCATTCAATTTTAAAACAAGTAGACAAAATCACTGTTAGGAAAAACAAACAAACAAACAAACAAAACTGACCAGATTAAAAAATTCCATTGGGTCAAGTAAATAAATAAATCTTAAAAAAAAAAGATTAAAAAAAATGAGTTGGGGTGTTCCTCCAAGAGACAGACAGAAAAGACTTCCTTCAGCCAATACATTTCCATTTTATTGATTTAAAAAAGGTCTATGACTATCAACAGTTATTCTGATGTTAAGTAGTATTTTTAAGTTACCGAAATGAGATTTATGATGTTTTTTAAACTTTTAAGACCGTGACCTATATAGTAAAAAATAAATTTTATATACATGAAAAACTAAATACAAAGTTTCACCAAACAGTGAAGCTTATAATGGTTACAACTCAGTCTTCCATTTCTTTCTCTTTCCCTCTTTTATTGTCCCTCTACCAGGCTCTTTTTTTTTTTTAAAAAAAGATTTTATTTATTTATTTGACAGAGAGAGAGAGAGATCACAAGTAGGCAGAGAGGCAGGCAGAGAGAGGAGGAAGCAGGCTCACTGCTGAGCAAAGAGCCCGCTGCGGGGCTCTATCCCAGGACCCTGGGATCATGACCTGAGCTGAAGGCAGAGGCTTAACCCACTGAGCCACCCAGGTGCCCCTACCAGGCTCTTTTTAAATGCTGGTCACAAGTCCAACTCACTAAATTTATCTGAAGACCCACTGAGTTGCTACCTTCAGTTTGAAAGCGTTATTGGACTCAGAGGAGAAATGGATGATTTTGGAATAAGGGGCACTTTCTGGAAATTAGAAGCCTGGGCTGCAGTGCTCAACTAAAGAGAGCTGAACATTAAACAAGCCTAAGAGAAAAGAGTGGGCAGGTTGTAGGTGCCCACTTGATTTCTAACACAAAATAAATTGTTAGCAGAAAGGATGTTAAGCCAAAGAACTGACCGAAAGCTCAGAGATGAAAAATAATTAAGTTTCGAAAGGAGGCCAAGAATCTTGAATTAGTAATGCTAAACAATTAAAATGTAGTCTTGTGGTAACATGACTGTATTTAGTTTGTGAAAATCATGAGCTGTACCCTGCCAATATGCGTATTTTCCTATTTGTATATTTTTGTATGTAATATTTTGATAAAAATTAATAAATTCAAAATGTAGTACTCTGGTGCCCAATACTGAGATGGCTGCACCCGTCATTCTTCAACTAGGGTCTTCTTTGTTAGCTGGGGACTAGTTTAGCACGGTCTCAAAAATGTGAAATAAATGAACTAAAACATCTTGTTTTTGCTAAAGACAAGGCAATTCTGGGTATACTTCCATTTTAATATAGATAACAATGATTTAATGCTTCATATTTATAGATGTTAAGAAACTGCCGTGGGGGGCATCTGGCTGGCTCAGTCAGTGGAGCGTGCGACTCTTGATCTAGGGCTGTAGGTTCGAGCCCACACTGGGTGTGATTACTTTAAAATAAAATCTACTTAAAAATAAAATCTTTAGGGGTGCCTGGGTGGCTCAGTGGGTTGAGCCTCTGCCTTCAGCTCAGGTCATGGCCTCAGGGTCCTGGAATCGAGCCCTGCATTGGGCTCTCTGCTCAGCAGGGAGCCTGCTCCCTGCCCCACCCCCGACTGCCTCTCTGCCTACTTGTGATCTCTCTCTCTGTCAAATAAATAAATAAAATATTTTTTAAAAATTAAAAATATAAAATCTTGAAAAAAAAAAACAAAAGAAGCTACCCATCAGAAGTAAATCACAGAATTTTGGTAGCTACAATTTTTGATACTATTTAGAAATATGCTATTGGAGGGGACCTAAATGATTACATTTTCATAAGGTACCCACTTAACACCTAACCTGGGTTCCCACCTCTCCCTCTGCCTATACTATATGAGTGAGTTAATGAATCCATGGGCCCTCCATGCTGCTTCTCCTGCACAACAACTTGTCTCTCGAGACTGAGCTTGGAAGTCCCCTCTTCCTTGAGATTTCTGTGTCCTCTTCTCCTCATCATACACAGCACACTGGGCGTCTTTCTACCATAGGTCTTACACCACACTATACCATAATTCAGACATCAGCAAATTACAGTACAGGGCTGGTGCCTATTTTTGTAAATAGAAATTGCATTGGAACACAGCCACGCTCATTTGTTCACAGATTATCTATGGCTGCTTTCACACTATGACACCAGGGTTGAATAACTGCAACAGAAACCATATGGCCCACAAAGCCTAAAGTATTTGCTATCTGGCCCTTCACAGAAAATGTAAGCCAACCCCTGCTGTTATTGATGCTTATTCATTTTCCACTGGCTGTGAATTCTTGAAGGCTGGGACTATATCTTAGATCTCTGAACTGCTAAAAATCAAATCAATAGAAAGCCAGAAATCTAGCAAATACTCAACAAATAAATGCTGAAGGCAAAAAATGGCCTTTACTTGTATAATTTTTTAATGTGGCATTTAATTTCAAAAGTTACGGCAATTAATTATTTTCTAGACAAAAAGTGTTTTGTTTTTCTTTTTTGAGAGAGTGCATGTGAGTGGGGGGAGGGGTGGAGAGAGAGGGAGAGAGAATCTCAAGCAGGCT